AACCCCAGGGCTTGTTGATGCAGACCCACCAGCATAGCTGTTGGGGAGTAAATGCTGGGTAGGATTGAAGTACCCTGAATTAAGCCACCCCTACAGAACGCAGGAGGGCACACGCATTGGTAAGCTGTCCTAAACCTGTGCTGCTGGGAAGTGTCCTGGTGCAGCAGGGGAAGTTCTCTGACTATCAGTGAGAGCATCCTCTGGTCTGTAGCTCCCAGCAGCCCAGGGGAATTACAAAGCCTGTTTTAAGCACAAATTTCAGAACCTAAAAGGAGGCATATCTGGCTCTGCCACAACTCCAGGATTGAAATGCTTATCTGGTTCTGCCAGCTATTAAACAAAAGGACTCTAACATACAGGAGTACTTCACTTCCCTCAATCAAGGAGTAAAGCATCCCATGTAACATTCATTTCTTTAGACACACTGAGTCTGGCTACAGGCTCAGAACCACATTGTGCTGTGTGGAGTCAGAATAACGGAGGGGAACAAACACCATGACTGCACACACAGCAAAATGCACTCCACCAGCCAGCAGTTAGGTGACATAGCTGAGGTTCCCAGATCCCAGCTGCAGATCGTGCAGCACTGAAACCACAGGCGAGGCTCTCCCACCTCTCCCGCCCAACAGCTCTGATGCAGAGTAGCATTTCCCCACCATTAGACTGAGGCAGAAGGAGTTAAACAGTAAAACTGCAGTACATTTGCCTTCCATCTGTGAAAGTGAGAGGAGAAAGAGGAAACCAACAGCATAACCCTGAAATCCCCCACCCTGAGTTAAGAAGGAAGGAACAGACCAAACACCATGCTGTCGCAGCCCGGTGCACGGACCAAACAGCACCTGGAAACATAGGTGGTCATTGAATTTTGTTAACTAGAAAGACCATCTACCAAATGTACAGAGCTCTTTTCCAGGTAACTCCTGAGCGTGATACAAGGCAAATTCAGATATTTCCCATTAACCTCGCTGTGCCAATGCAGCTATTTGGATCATCTCCCCAGAACCACGCTGCTCAACAGTGCAATGCTCTGAGCTCACCTCACTTCCCATCATCCAGCATGGGAGTCTGCAGACATCCCATCTGTTTCAAATCTCCCTATTTCTTTTCAAACGCTTTTCTTTTACAGCCTGAATTGCTTTTTGGCTCGCAGAGAGGTGCAGGTTCCAAACTGAGGAGAAAAAGTGTTTTTCTGTTTTCTCATAAGCAAAACCTCATAACAATTAAGACATCTGCCAAGCCAACGCTCACTGCAATTAGAATGGAAAGACTCGACCCTGTTATGAAGCTACAAATACAGATGCTACACCAAAGATGCAGAAAGGTATTTCTTCGCTCAGTTGAGTATGGTCCTCAGGGCAAGGGAGAGCCTAGGTAAGAAAGTCCATGACCCAAAATGCAACACAAACAGGTGCACTCAAATACATTGCAAAGCACCGACACTGCCTGAGTCACCAGATCAAAGCATCAATCATCATAACAGGAGCACAACCGCAGGGCTGAAGGCGGCCAGCCGAGCCTATGAATGGAGTGGGAATGCCATGTTTATCTCAGCACGTGTGCACACTAAGCAGCAAAGAGAGGAGCAACCTGCACCAGCAGCCCACCTGCTCCTCTTGCCTGGCCAGCTGAAAAAGCATGGAGAGATGTGGCCGAGCAACGGCTGCAGATTCACGTCAGCAGTTCCCGCCACGATGGGCAGATGAGTGGAAAAAAAAAGAACAAAAAAAGTGCCTGGCACAGTGCCCACACACACATCCCAGGAGTGGGGAAAAGAGGCGGGGGCACATACCATCTACCAGCCCCACATCAGCCTTCTGGCTCAAGAAGCTGGCTGATAGCAGAAGCACGTCCTCTCACCGCCCCCCGCAGCACCCACACCTCCTGCCCTGCCGTGAGCCCACCTTTCTTGAACTCCTCCAGCATGGCGTCGAGCTTGGTGTCGTTGAAGACGAAGTGCAGCGGGTGGTTGTAGAAGCGGGTGATGGTCTTGAGCAAAGTGCAGTCGTCAGGGTCCACAAAAGCCAGGTCCTTGACGAAGAGCAAGTCCACGATGTTGGAGCGGTCACCCTCAAAAACAGGGATGCGGGTGTAGCCGCTCTCCATGATCTCAGACATGGTGTTGAAGTCCAGCACAGCCTCAGCCGCTATCATGAAGCAGTCTCGGAGAGGAGTCATCACGTCCTCCACCGTCTTGGTGCGCAGCTCCAGGGCCCCCTGTATGATGTTGAGCTCCTCCTTGACCAGGTCGTTATAAGGGTCGGTGACCCGCAGCATCTCCAGCAACTTCTCACGGTTGTAGACCGTACCGATCTCCTGGCCCAGCACGCAGTCCAGCAGCTTGCTGACCGGGTAGGAGGCCGGGAAGGTCATCATCATGAAAAACTTGGTGAGGAAGATGGTGTTGGCGCCCACGGCCAGGCCGTGCCGAGAGCAAATGGCCTGCGGCACGATCTCGCCGAAGATGACGATACCGATGGTGGAGACCACCACGGCCACCAGCCCAGAGCCAGCAATGTCGTCCAGCAGGATGGTCAGCGTGGTGTTGACCAGGACGTTGCCCAGCAGGAGGGAGCACAGCAGGTAGTTGCCCTGGCGGCGCACGGGCTCGATGCGCTTGGCGTAGTTCTTCTCCTTGTCTGTGCCACAGTTCTGCACGATGCGCAGCTCCATGGGGTCCAGGGCCATCAGGCCCAGGTTGAGACCGCTGAACATGCCCGAGAGGCAGAGCAGCAGCGAGATGAAGATCACCTGCAGCCAGAAGGGCAGCAGGAACTTCTTCTCCTCGCCCACGATCATCTTGGTGTCCTCTCCGTCGTGGTAGATCCAGGTGGTCTCGCCCCACGGCGGCGGCCCGTCCCGCCCCTCGGCGTCCACCATCCTCCCGGCGGCCCCGGGCCCCAGCGCGGCGGCGGAGACGGAGGTGCACAGGTAGTAGGACTTGCTCTTCTCCGTCTTGCGCAGGGGCTTGATCTCGATCTCGATGATGCCGGAGGTGCGGCGGTTGAGCACGATGTGCGGCAGGATGATGATGTCCGACGTGCGGATGCCGCAGCGCTGCGGGGCTCCGCCGCCGCCTCCCGCCGAACCGCCGCCGCCTCCGCCGCCGCCGCGCCCCGCCGCCCCCGCCGCCGCCCGCCCGCCCCGCCGCCGCTCGTGCTCCGTGAAGGCGATGCGCGACCACGTCTCGTTGTTGATGTTCTGCCCGTAGACCCGCAGCTTCACCCGCGTCCGCTCGCTCACCCGCAGCGCTCCCCCCTCCATGAAGGAGACGTCGTCCGTGTCCTCCAGCCGCAGGCCAATGATCACCGTCTCCTCCGCCGAGGGAACGGAGGCGGCGGGAGGCGCGGCGGCGGCGGCTGCGGAGGCCGGCGGCCGGCGGCCGAGGCAGGCGGCGAGCAGCAGCAGCAGCAGCTCCACCCGCGCCCCCCGGCCGCCCCCCGCCATGTTCCCGCCGGGCAGCGCGGCCATCTTTAGTCAGGGCTCGGCGCCGCCGCGGCCCCGCATCGCCGCTCGGCGCCTGCGGCGTGCCCCGGTCCCCCGGCGGCGGCGGTGGCGGCGGCGGGCGCGGTGGCGGCGGGCGAGGCGGCGGGCACGGCTGCCCGCGGGACCCGACGGGCGGCGACTGCCGGGCCGGGCCGAGCCGAGAGCCGCCTCAAGCCGCTGCCCCGCCCGCCCCTCCCCGCCCGCCGCGCGGGGGCGGGGCCTCGGCCGCGCTCAGCCAATCGCCGCCCGCGAGCGGGCAAGGGGGCGTGGCCTTCAGTCCAGCCCTCTGCCGCCGGCCTCTACCGCGGCCTCAGCCCGAGGGGCGCGTGACTCCGGTGTGTACGCCAGGCGATGGGGGGCGGAGCCGGCAGCGAGGAGGCGGCCAATAGCGGCGCGGCCGAGGGTTGAAGGGGTGGAGCCTCGGAGGGGCGCGACCAATGAGGGCGCGGAGCGGCCGGCGGGTCGGAGCCGGCGCGTGCTGCGCGCGGAGCGTGGACGGGACGGGACGGGACGGAGCGGGTAAAACAGAACAGGACGGGCCCGCTCGGCGTCCGTCCTCCCGCCCGCCGCCGCCGCCACCGCCGCCTTCCACCCACATCCCGCCGCCCCACAACACACCGCTACCCGTTCCCCGGCTCCGCTCCTCCGTCGCCTCTCTTTGCTCAGCGGTCGCGCAGTGCCCCCTGGCGGCCACTCGCCGCCTCCCCCGCGGAGCGCCGAGACCGCGCAGAGCGGGCTGATAGTTGGGTTTAGCAGCCTTTTCCAACCATAACGGTCATACGATGCTAAGATCTCCACGTTTCTCGAACATCTCCAGGCTCGTGGGTCGCCCCATTCAGGTGCCAGAAGTCTCTCCTTGCGGCCGTCGGGCACCGCTCCTGGCACGGACACGCACGGCACAACGAGGGGTGGGGATGCTCACATGGCTGAGCTCGGTCGGGGCTGGGTCGGCACTGCCGCTCAGAGCCAGGGCCCGTGGCTGCAGGACTCTGAGCACGGCCGCCGCAGCGCCGGGTCTGCAGAACCGCCGCATTTCCCTGCACAAACCTGCAGGCTTAGCGCTTGCGCTGCACGCGGAGCTCCCCGCTAGATGGAGTGCGGGGAAAAAACAAAGCTCAGCAGCACCGCACGGGGCAGGGATTGGAATCCCGGCTCCAGGAGCGGGAGGTGGGGCTGTCCGTGCCCGGGGGCCGGCTGCAGAAAATGCAGAGGTCGGCGCGGGGGGGGTTAAAACAAGAAGAGCAGCTAGGCTGCGCCTTTTGCTTCTCAGGAGCGCTGGCTGAGAACTACGGGCTCCCAAAGATTCTTCCCCCACCTTTGGAGCCGCCCTGCCCGGCCCCGGCATGCACTGTGTGGGATCCAGGCATTCGATGTGTTGTGAGCTCACGTCCAGCATCTGGTCCGCAGCGCTCCCCGTGCAGGGGCCGGGCAGGGCGGTAAGACGTCCCGCACTAGGGGGTCCCCAAGGTGCTGCTCACCCTCACCCCCAGGCAAGAAAGCGAACCCCAGCTCAGCCACACTGCTCAACTATTTCTTTGTATTTTCTCTCCGGTGAAGCCACAGCCCCCCCGCTCCCAACGCTGTGGAGACATCGCTGTCCGATCAGCAGCCCTGTGGCCCGCAGGTCCTGGCAGCACCACAGGCAGGAGCTGGGGCTGCCCGCTGCTGCAGCAACAGGAAGGGGTCACAGATCTTCTCCTGGAGGGTAGAGAACAACGAGGGATGGGATCAGGCCATGGGGTAGCAGCACTTCCCCACTACTTGCTCCAAACCCTAGCAGAACGGCCATAGGCAACAGCTGATCAGTCCATTCATTTTGCTATGCCATAAGGGGGACACTGAGAGCTTCTCTGGGACTTTCACTGTGCTTTTAATTGAGAAATGCTTGGACAGGACCAAAGAGTCAAATGCAAGACTGTGTTTCAGGGACAGACAGCTGCAGGGCTTTATCTCCTTTGCCTGTCAGTGACCCCTACTTCATAGCCCCAGCTGGGCCAGCTGAGGCTGAAAGGATGACGAAGGGGCAAGGAGAGGCTGCCAGCAGATAAAGGAGCTGCAGGGTCAGGGTTGTCAGCCAGGGCCAAGCTCACAGCAGCAGAAAGGGGCAGCTGGGGGTGGCACCGCCTGCCTAGAGGAAAGATATCTCTCATAGAGACCTCCAGCAGGTTCAGCCACTAGTCCCAGTGTCCCCCATAGACATGTGCAGGGGATGAAGGGTTCTCAAGCCACAACAAACCCCTCTGGACGCAAAATAAACCTCAGCAAATCCAAAAGGGGTAGAGTTGCCCAAACTCAGGCACCAGGTGCCATCCAGTCTCCCACAGGCTCCTGCTGGGCCCAGAAGAACATGGGCCTCCTTGTGTCATGTGACCACCCATTGATACTTCAGGGTAGCCCTGTGATAGCACATAGCAGCAGTGTCCCCATCCTAGAGCTCAGCACATAGCTACCAACCTTCATCTTCCCAGGACAGCAGCCTTGTGGTGCAGCAACATCAGTCCCACCACGCTGGATCAGGAATTTGTCTGCAAACCTGGAGCTCTGCAATATCACAGCCATTTCAGCATCCACGTCCACCACTTCTCCTTCCTGGGGAAAGGAAAACATCATGGGACCGGAGCCTGGGACATGCAGCCCAGGGGTCCCCAGCTGCCCAGAGAGATGATGCTCAAAGCCCAGTCCAAAACCTGGAGATACACCCACAACTGTCTGCAAACCACCTGGTGTAGCACCAGGGACGTACTACTCCCATCTTCGCCCCAACACATTGCACAGCTCTGACTTCCTCTCCATGCCCTGTTTGCAGTTCCCCTGGTTTATATGGAATTTTAGGATCACTGAGTTGGAAAAGACCTCTAGGATCACCCAGTCCAACCATCAACCCATTCCGACCATGCCGCTAACCAGATCCCCCAGTGCCACATCTTCACGGTTCATGAACACCTCCAGGGACAGTGACTCCACCACATCCCTGGGCAGCCTGTTCCAATGCCTCACCGCTCTTCCTGAGAATAGATTTTTCCTAATGTCCAACCTGAACCTTCCATAGTGTCATCTTTGGGAGCCCAAATGTGCCTCCCATACCTTGAAGGTGAAGTTGGCATCAAACACCAGCTCTCGCTCATGCCCTACAATCCCACCATTGTAGATGACCTGGCCTGGCCCGGCCCAGCTGCTCCCTGGCACCTTGAAGAGCCGGTACGTGGCTGAGACGAAGCAGCAGTCACCTGCAAGGGAAAGGCACTGTATACGGAGTCCCAGTGCAGTTCTCATAACCAAATGGAGATGGTGGAACCCTCACCAATGATTCTCTCTAGCTCCTTGTTGCTGACAGTGATGGGGCTGGCGTTGACCAGGCACGGAGGGCTGAAACCCACCTCCTTGGCAATGCTGTACAAGTCTCTCCAGAACAGGGCTCCTGCCAGGCACTCTCCTGAGACAAGGACATGGGCACAGTGACACCATGCACATCAGACCCAAAGGCTGCCCATCCCATGTGTTGCAGTGCCCTACACACCCCACAGCACCCTGTGCTTCCTCATGGCTTCACTCAGGTGCTGGTTGGCATAGACATCGCTGAAGTACATCTCTCCTCCAGGCTGAAAGGCAGTAAGAAGTGGATGGCAGATGATGAGACTGAACAGGCACCTGCAGCAAAGCCATCCCAGCCCCACTTGGCTCCCTACCTTCAGCACACGGTAGGCCTCCCGAAGCACAGCCCTCTTGTCAGGGGCGAGGTTGATCACACAGTTGGAGCTGGAAGGAGAACACCAAAGATTCTTTGCAGCATCACCACCTTTGTTCAGCACCACCAGCTGCACATAGTCCGTCACTCATTGCAAGATTCAACCATGAAAAAGTGAAATTCCATATTCCCAGGCTATAGCTTAGATCCTACCTCTAGTTTTTAATTTCCTAACACATTGTTGAAGTGAGCAGTCCAGCAGGAATGTACATAGGATCATAGAACAGCTTAGGTTAGAGGGATCTTAAAGCCCGTCCAGTTCCAACCCCCTATGGTGGGCTGTGTTCCTCCCACCAGGTCAGGACCCAGGGCTCCATCCAACCTGGCCCTGAATGCCTCCAGGGATGGGGCACCCACAGCTTCTGGGCAGCAGTGCCAGGGCTTCACCTCCCTCTGAATAAAGAATTTCTTCCTAACATCTTACTTCAATCTCTTCTCTTCTAGTTAAAAACCATTCTGGATGATATCCCTTTCTTCTATTGCATCAACTGCTCCACTCATCTTGGTGTCATCAGCAAACTTGCTGAGGGTGCACTGAATCCCTCTGTTTATATAATTGATAAAGACGTCGAAGAGCATCGGTTCCAAAATGGACCCCTTGGGGATGTGGGTGCAAATCCAGTACAATCTCTGCAGGGTACCTACATGACAATATCATAGCTCTCATCAGTCAGCCCAGCATCACCGAGGTTCTCCATGTAGCCCTGGAGGAATTCCACGTTTGGCTTTTGGTAGCCGAACTTCTCCATGTGATAGGCAATGTGCTTTTTTGCCACCTCGACCTGGGAGGAGGAAGGGAAGGAGTGTGGCACGACTCAGGGTGGGGACGAGGTGATCCCGTGGGTGGCCCTGTGCCATACCTGTGCCTCAGTCATGTCGATGCCGGTGACATGGCCCTGCTCCCCCACCAGCTGGCTCAGCATGTAGCAGTCCCTGCCACTGCCGCTGCCCAGGTCCAGGACCCGGCAGGATGCCAGGCACTCCGGGATGACCAGGCCACAGCCATAGTACCTGGGGGGTTTGGGCTGAGTGAGGGTGCAGTCCGTGGGAGGTGGTACGGGAGGGAAGTGTGAGGCTCACCTGGCCACCACCTCCTCATGGACACGCTGCAGAGCATCTCTCACCGCCTTGGGAACGGGCCTGGTCGGTGTGATGCAGGCGTTGGTTTTCAGGTCCTCTGACTTCTGCAGCTCTCTGCCATAGTAATCCTGGCAAAGGAAACACAGGGGCCACCTGACTGCAGCAAGCTGGGCCATCGTGCCTCCACACACACCAACCTGAGGTCATGCAGCTTGCACATGCCAGCAGTGCCCTCTGCAGCTATAAATCTGGGTAACATTACACGTTTCTCCATCCCAACCCTCCCCAGCTTCACCTGCTCGTCCCTTCCCATCCCCATTATGAAGATGTGCAAAATGCTGCTCCAAAACTCCACTGGCAGCAGCCACCTGCCCTTAGCACTCTCACCAGGATCCCGCAGTGAACTTTTTCCTGTGTCAACTTTGCCTTGACTCAGTGACATGCTTTTGTGATTTTTGGCTTTCGGTATTCCGCATCATAACTTCATGTGGGGCACTGGGAGTTTTACTGTTAATGCTCAAGCCCTGGGTACCTGCCCTGAAGAGAAGAAGAACTACATTCCCCAGGGGACTTTGCGGTCAGCAAGAGGAGGTTTAACTCCTGGCAGGGTTCACCTGATGGGCTCTTTTTCACCTGCTCTTCGTCGTGGGTGCTGCTCCCATCTCCCTGCTGCTCAACTGGACTGTGCATCTCACCTCAGCGTTGTGGTGAGGCCTATCCAGCTTTTGGACATTCTCTCTCTCATTATATTTGATTTATTAGCTTCAATTCTGATTATATTGTATAATAGTGTATTATCTTGCATTCCAATACTGTATTCAGTAAATTAGTTTGTTTCTCCTCAGATCGTTGCCGTTGTTTTTAATTATTTTGGGGCCCCCTGTTTCCTTTTTTTCCGGAGGCGCGGATCCATGGATTCCCCCCGCCCCGCTCCCCATGGAACCGGGCCGAACCAGCCCATAAACTGTTGACACTCAGCCCTCCTTCCCAACCCCCCGCTCACACCCTCACCTGCACCTCGTGGTGGATCTGGTCCTGGGAGATCCGGTCCTCGGGGGCGCAGTCCCTGCACGGGGCAGCCACTGCAGCAACAGGAGCACAGAGCTGGTGCCAATGCCACTGCACGGGCACCACTACAGGCCCTTCCCAAAGCCCCTCCTCAAAATACCAGAACGCTTCCCTTGCCTCCATCTGACAACCCCAGGGAGGCCCCAGACCCGCATCCTGGCGGGAAGAACACCCCTTGCCAACACCCCATTTGAAACACCCCAAACCCATCCCTGCCAGAGATATCCCTGTACGGCAAATCCTCCTTCCACAATGTCTCCCAGGGTCCCCTGCGGGACAGGGCCCAGCACCCTGAAGTGCGACTTACTGCTTCCAGCTGCAGCTTGGCCACGCTCCGCCCCGGCTCTTTTGTTCCCTCCCGAGGTCAGTTCCCAGCAGGCCTCAAACCCTAGCATGCAGCCCTGCCTGCTGCCAGCACCAGCAGCCATTCCCATCCAGCTCTGTCCCTCTCACAGCGCAGTCCATCTCACCTCCTGCTTGCCCAAACGCAGGGAAACCACAGGGTGATGTTCCAACCCCTGCAGATGGGAGCTCCGGTGGGGAATAAGCCACCTGCAACATGGACAGTGTCCACAGGAAGATCCTGGAGTGAAGCAGTATGCCATGCTGTTCCACACTGGTCAGGGTGACCGGCAGCACACACAGCTGCAGCATGGTAGTGCCTGGGACAGCTCTTTTATTCTCAAGAAGCTTCAGGGAAACTGCTCCAAAGGGCAGCTTTGATCCAAGCACCAGGAACCCCCAGGGCACAAATATCCCCTGGCACCCCATTGTTTAGGTGTCACCTCACACAGTGCAGGCTACAACCCCTGCTATCAAGGTAACCTTACACAAGAGATGAAAAGATTACAGACTTAAGGTGTAGAAAACCAAGCTTTTATAACAACAAAGCAAATCACCGCAGCCTCTCCATGCCCTCCTGCGTTCTTGCCTGAGCAGAGGCATAGTGCAGAGGAAAAGCTAACAGTATCACTGGACACCTCGACAGAAACATAGATCGGGCGTTGCAAGCTGAAGGCAGGCAGGCAGTGGTTCTGGAAGAGCAGCAAGGGCAAAGCCATATGGCTCTGCACATCAGCAAAACCACGCTGCAGGAATGTGGCAAGCTGATCCATGCTCTTGTCCTATCAGCTGATGAAAAGCACACTCAGGCAAACAAGTGCTTCCAGTGTGCTCCAAGTGCTCCAGATAAGAGACTCAAGAAAAACGAGGCATAGTATTTATAGATTGCACCTCATTTCACCGAGAAGCAAGCAGGAACCCAGACACTAAGACCTCAGGACAGAGCAATGCAGAACTGAATACACAGGCTCCTGACATTCTTTTGCCCCTCACTGCCCACATCCCAGCCACGTCTCTGGACGCGTTCCCAATCTGACAGCTACACAGCACTACCAAGGCTGCTTAATCAAGAACTGGAGGAGCAAGCCAGAACTGGAATGCAATTGAAGGCCGAAAGCAGCGCAGATGCGCTGGCAAAGAGATGACATTCCAAATTCTGGCTTAGCAAAAAGTAAGATAAGCTCAGAGCAGGATCCTCACAAAGTCATGTCCAGCTGGCTCAGTGGTGCCTGCCCGGAGTCACGCTTTCTAAAATTCTGCTCTGTGACAGGCACCTCAGTCCACGCTGAAGCACCTCTACACCCACCCAACCACTTTCAGCTCCCACTGATTAACATGCCCTAAATAAAGCACACCCATCATCTCAGTGTCTAAATAAGGTCCTGTAGCTGTAGTTATTCTGTATTTAAAACCTGCAGCTCTATTTCATACACTTCATTGGGAGGGTGGAGGAGAAATTATATTGTATGAAAAATCCCAGCTCTACGATTGTTGGAGATCGTTAGGTATTTCATCATCTTACAGCAGACAGCTAATGACTCAGCAGGGATGGGAAGAAAAATCATCCTGCTGTGGACATACAGACAAAAGGCTTTGGATGGGCAGCACATGCCGCATTCTGGGCTGACAAACCATTTCAACACAGGGCCATCAGCCGAACAACGCAGGTGCTGAGGTACAGGCACAAGGCTGAGCACCTCACACTGCATGTGATAAGAAAAGGAACACAGGAACTGTTGTAGAAGTGAAGTTTCTGCTGAGGTTCCAGTTAGGTGTAAGGAATCAGGAGAGTGTTCTGAATACAGATGTGGATGGGAACACCTGAGAGGTGCCTGCACACTCAGGAATGTGCACTCTGTGTGTATCCCAGCTGGCATTCAGCACCATCCAGACACAGGTCTGAGCCCCAGGCCCAGGAGGAAAAGGACAGCCAGTGGAGATGTCCAATGCCTTCAGCTAGGCTTCATTTCAGCAAGTGACTCAGCTGGTCCCTCAGGTTTGATGACTGCTCCACACTAGGGACAAAATAAGAAGAGGTTCACAGTGAGATCTGTATTTAAGCACCCAGAACAGTCTTAGCACTGACATTACAGAAAAAAGAAATCCTGGATCTCCCCAGCCCTACTCCCTATCCTCTCAAAGCAAACCTCACTCTTTGTGCTCCTGTGTATGTTAATGAAACAAATGGAAGCTTAGCATAAATCATCTCTTCACCCAAATTCTCAGCCCTCCACAGTACTGATCCTCACAGCAGTGAAAACTTATCCTGCTGGGCCAGCATCTGTTTCAAAGGCAGCTGCAAAAATTTCCAGTTGCGTTCTCCCCTCCCCTACTCTCTCAATCACTCATTGCCTTCCCATTGGCCTTGACATGCTGCTTCCCATGTCTGCCCGGCATTCTTCAGTTAGGTACTCACTTCTTCTGAATCGCTTCCTGCCTAGAGAAAAAAAGGATAGGAAAGAGCATTAGAAAAAAAATAAATAAATAAAAATCTCAGAAACAGCTTTTGTGTGATACTGATGAAAAGGGACTTGATTGAGAGCTCAGGAGGCCAAAACCTTCAAATGTGTCTGGATTATGCCCAGACCAGAAAGCAGTGGCTCTTTTCTCCCTCTCAGCATCACACACAGGTACAGGAGACCTAGTGCATGGCGCACAGGAAGCAAAAAATCACAGTTCTCACTCCAAACAGCCTCATCCATATCAGTGGATGTGGTGGGGCTGGAGAGTACTGAAGCACTGGCACAGGTTGCCCAGAGCGGTGGTGGTTGCCCATCCAAGGAGACACCCAAGGTCAGGCTGGAGGGGCTCTGAGCACCTGATGGCGCCGGAGGTGTCCCTGTTCAGCACAGAGAAGTGGGATCAGAGGGCCTTTAGGGGTTCCTTCCCACTAGAACAGTTCTACAGTCGCAGTCCCAGGGTGTGTCCGGCTATGGGAAGTGGCAAATGGGCCTGCATGGAGTGGCTCCACAGATCTTTACAGAATCATTGAATCACAAATTACAAAGAAGGAAAATCAACAAAAGGCTCCGCTCAGATTCCCAGGGGTCCATACTTACTGGTACTGCAGGTGCGTGGTTATTATGGCCATTTTCCTTAAACTCTGTGGAAAACAAGATCGAGAATGAAAGCCTCTGACAGCAGCCGCCCAGCAGAACCGCGGCTGCCCCAGCAGACAAACACAGCTTACGTCTTCGGAGTGCAGGATGGCGTCCTCTTGCATCACCATGTTCCTGGCGGCCTGGCCCAGCAACTGGCAGAGGAACGCACGGAGCGCTGAGGGGCAGCGCCAAGCGGAGGGAAGGGAGGGGAGGGGAAAGAAGGGAAGGGAGAGCAGGGGTGGGGACAGGAGAGCAGGGGTGGGGACGGGAGCGGCCCGGCCCCACCCCGCCCCTCCGGCCTGTCCTGCCGCGCCCCCCAGCGCGCCCCGCGGCTCACCTCGGCGCTGCGAGAGCCCTTCAGCACCTGCTTGGTGAGGGCGATCACGTCGGTGCCGCAGCTCGTCACCTTCTCGGTCAGCAGTCCCTTCACCGAATGCCCGAAGCGCGCCTGAGCCTCCGCCGCGCCCCCTGCCGCCATCTTGCCGCGCCCCGCCCCGCCCCACGGCCGCGCTACGGCGAGCGCCGCGGGCCTGAAAGGCCGGGAACGCGCTGCGGCTCCGCAATGCCGCTGCTCTGTGCTGCCCGCTGCTGTCCTGCAGTGCTGCCCAGTGCCCAGTGCTGATCGGTAATGCCCGGAGCCGTCCGGAGCTGCCCGGTCATTCCAATTGTGCCCAGTACTACTCGGTCTTGACCGCTATTACCCGATGATCAGGGCAGCCCAGGGCTGCCCAGTGCTTCCCAGTGCTGAGAGGGGCTGCCCGGTTCCGCTCGGAGCCGCCCAGTACAGCCCAGTGCAGCCCATGCACCTGGAAGGTCTCCCAGAGCGGCAACAGCCCCCAGACCCCTCCTGCCCACCGCCGCGCTGGCTGCAGCCGGAGCATCCCCAGAGCTCCGCTAGCACTCCTGGCCCCGCTGCCTTCACCCCAGCTGCAGCGCTGGCCCGCTGCCCATCACCCCCCCCCGCCATCTCCCCGATAAGCTGCCCAGCCCATCCCAGGGTCAAGGGGATGCCTCCGAGTGGCTATAAAGGCCCTGGAGCCACACGGTCCCGCAGCCGTCCCACCATGCCGCCTCTTGCTGTCCTGCTGCTTGCCCTGGCCCTGCTCTGCGCCTGGAGGCTGTCGTGCAGTCAGGCTCCCAAGGGGACGGGGACTGGGCGGCTGCGGAGCCTTCCAGCCCTGCCGCTGGTGGGGAGCCTGCTGCAGCTGGCCGGGCACCCGCAGCTCCACCTGCGGCTCTGGCGCCTGCAGGGTCGCTACGGCAGCCTCTACGGGCTATGGATGGGCTCCCACTACGTGGTGGTGGTCAACAGCTACAGGCACGCCCGGGAGGTGCTGCTGAAGAAGGGGAAGGCTTTCGCCGGACGGCCTCGCACTGTAAGTCATGCTGCCACGGAGACAGCGTTGGCGGATCCCCTGGTGTGGGGTGAGGATGCTGCGCAGGGTGATCCCGTGGCTGCGTGTCCCGCAGGTGACCACGGACCTACTGTCCCGTGGGGGCAAGGACATCGCCTTTGCCAGCTACGGTCCCCTGTGGAAGTTCCAGCGCAAGCTGGTGCATGCCGCCCTCTCCATGTTTGGGGAGGGCTCAGTCGCCCTCGAGAAGATCAGTAAGTGTTTGGTTTTCACCATGCTTGGGTTTCCTGGGATGCCAGGGACAAATAATTGGGAATTGATGAAGCAGCTGGGAGCTTTCCCCCTCCTTCCCCCCTTGGCCGCCCCTAGAGCTCACTGCCCCTCTCCTTCCATCCAAAGTCTGTCGGGAGGCTGCGTCCCTGTGTGAGACACTTGGTGCTGCACAGGATATGGCCCTAGACATGGCCCCAGAGCTCACGCGGGCTGTCACCAACGTGGTCTGCTCCCTCTGCTTCAACTCCTCCTATCGGCGCGGGGACCCCGAGTTTGAGGCTATGCTGGAGTACAGCCAGGGCATTGTGGACACCGTGGCCAAGGAGAGCCTGGTGGACATCTTCCCCTGGCTGCAGGTAACTGGGAGCACAGCAACCACGTGGGCCTTTTCCTTTTGAAATAGAGGAAGGGGCTGGAATGCATCATCCCACATGAACCTTCTCGGGGCTTTTCTCGCCCAGATCTTCCCCAACAGGGACTTGGCCCTGCTGAAGCGATGCCTCAAGGTCAGGGACCAGCTGCTCCAGCAGAAATTCACTGAACACAAGGTACTGAAGGGGCAAGGGATGCTTGGGGCTGCAACTGCTGGAGCTGGGCTGTAGGACTATGCATGGGACAGCCCAACTCACATGTGTTCCCTGGCAGGAAGCGTTCTGTGGGGACACTGTGAGGGATCTGATGGATGCTCTCCTGCAAGTAAGGCTCAACGCTGAGAACAGCAGCCCTCCTGAGCCAGGTCTGGAGCTGACAGACGACCACCTCCTCATGACGGTGGGGGACATCTTTGGGGCTGGCGTGGAAACCACCACCACTGTGCTCAAATGGGCTGTGCTCTACCTGCTCCACTACCCTGAGGTACGGCCTGTGGGGTCCCTGCTGCATCAGGGCCATCTCAGAAGGCTTTGGGAAAGAGCGATGCTGGGGGAGATGTCAGGCTTTAGAGATAAGTGGTACAGGGATGTGAGAGCTTTGTTTCTGCCTTCACACAGATCACAGAATCACTGAATCACCCTGGTTGGAAGGGACCTCAAGGATCATGTAGTTCCAATCCCCCTGCCTAGCAGGGCCACTAAATATACACATTTAGATCAGGTTGCCCAGGACCCCGTCCAACCTGGCCTTGAACACGTCCAAGGACGGGGCATCCACAACCTCCCTGGGCAGCCCGTTCCAGGGCCTAACCACTCTCCTTGTAAAGAAAGTAAAGATAAAGTGGCCTTTATCTGCCACGGTGTGCTGAAGATGCTCCTTGCACAGAGCATACCCCTCCCAGGCTCCCTCCTATTGCAGGTCCAGAAGAAGATCCAGGAGGAGATGGACCAGAAGATTGGCCTGGCACGTCACCCCCACCTCAGTGACCGCCCACTGCTGCCCTACCTGGAGGCTACCATCAGTGAGGTGCTGCGCATCCGGCCCGTGTCCCCCCTGCTCATCCCACACGTGTCCCTCGCTGACACCAGGTGAGACCAACTTGGGTGTGGGCAGAGGCTGGGGAGGGAGCGTCCATCACATGCTGTGTCTGCTCTACAGCATCGGTGAGTATTCCATCCCCAAGGGCGCCAGAGTGGTCATCAACCTCTGGTCTGTGCACCACGATGAGAAGGAGTGGGATAAACCTGAGGAGTTCAACCCTGGTGAGTTGTGAGCTCTTAGCCCAGTGCTCAGGTGGGAGGGATGATGAACTGGGGCAGGTCTCAGTCAGAAGGGGCAAATCCCCCATCTACAGCGGTGCCCCTTACCCTTGCAGGCCGCTTTCTGGATGAGCAGGGCCAGCACATCCACTCACCCTCTCCCAGCTACCTGCCCTTTGGGGCCGGCATCCGCGTGTGCCTGGGTGAAGTCCTGGCCAAGATGGAGCTCTTCCTCTTCCTGGCCTGGGTGCTGCAGAGGTTCACACTCGAATGTCCGCAGGATCAGCCCCTGCCCTCACTGGAGGGCAAGTTCGGTGTCGTGCTGCAGGTGCAGAAGTTTCGGGTGAAGGCCAGGCTGCGGGAAGCCTGGAGGGGTGAGATGGTGGGGTGAGATGGGGTAGTTGGATAGTGGAATGGAGTGGGTGCATGCCATAGAGACTGCGCTCTGAGTGCCTCGTGGATGTGAGATTGTCAGAATAAAGCTGTCCCCCGCCCAGCACTGCTCACGCTGCTTTTTGGGCGGGTGACAGAGGGTAGTGCAGGTGGGAGGGCTCAGATGGCCCCAAGACCTCATGTGAGTGCTGGGCTGAGCTGAGGGCATAGCCCCTCTGCAGGGCTGCAGACATTGCCACATGGACATGGCATGGGGGGGGGGGGGCATCTGGCTGCCACAGGTGGCTGGAAACCTACTGAGTGCAGGGGAAAGAAGGAAACAGCTCAAACACTGCTACGTTTTTAGCTCCTGTGTGGCTCCCGCTGTGCACAGGCACATACTGCATGCACCTGCGTGGCTGTGTGCTTGCAAGTGCGTGCAGGCACAGAAATGCATTCCTGCATGCCCACACACACATGCATGCACATACACATTTGTGCACACGTGCATGCTGAGCCCATTGCCAGTAGGAGCCAGCTGCCATACCCTGCCAGCGAGGGCAGCGTGCAACTAGGTTTCTGGTCCTCTATTATCTGACTTCTTAATATTTAACCCTGTAGCTCCGCACACCTCCACTTTCCCTCTCTCCCTGTGCTTACCCTGCATCTTAACTCTTGGCGGTAGGCAGGAGAGCCAGCACACAGCTAGTCTCTCCTTGCTGCTAACTCTTCTATTCATGTTTGCTTTACATTTTCTCTCTCAATATGGATGGCAGCAGCCAGGCTTCCCCATCTAATCTCCTGCCTCAGGAAATGAGGGGCTCCTGGGACCACAAACAAGCAGACCCTCAGTGCCTGGGCTGAGCCCTCCACCTTTATTCCAATTGTACACCAGCAACCCAAGCCTGGGGGCTGGCAGTGACCGTGCTATGGGCAGTGGGGGGGACCTTGGCAGCAGCCACCAGGTTTTGGCCGATCTGTCGCAAGCAGCTGAAATGACCCTACTGATGTAGCCGCCCAGGTGGTTTGCATCTCATGTCCAGGACTACGTGGGACATTTAAATGGGGGAGAAACGAGATACGAGCCTGCGTCTCTACTGAGGCGCTCGGGCAGCAGCAGGGCTCAGCAGGATGGCCTGGCCAGAAGGAGGAAGAGGTGACCCTGCACGGCTCCCAGGCCGCAGGCAGGAAGCAGTGTGGGCCGGGCGCTGGCTCTGACGCACATCCTCGTGTGCAAGGGTGGAGGCACAGCTGGTGGTGTGGGAGCGCATCGCTCTTCAGGTGGTGGCTTGGCATGCTTTCACACCCTGAGATGATTCCCACAGCCACAGAAAGGCAGGAGCTTTCCCTGAGCTCCCGGCACCCCCAGACAAACGCTGTCCGTCAGTTGTTTCACTGGAGGGGAAAGGCTCGGGGGGAAGTGAGCCCCGAGCAGCGGGTGCCCCATCCCTGGAGGTGCCCAAGGCTGCGTTGGATGGGCGCTGGGCCCTGACTGGGTGGAGGGCACCCAGCCCACAGCAGGGGGTGACCTGGCTGGGTTTAAGGTCCCTTCCGACCCAACCACTGCATGATTCTGTGACTCACAGAATGATACACATACACAGAGGCGAGTTATCAGAAAAGGCATTATATTTTGGTTTCCACCTTATTTGAAACTGATTTTGGTTTTCAATCAATCAAATCTGAATATGACTGAGTTCAGTTTTCAATTTCTTTCCCCATAATAGCAATGATCTGGATGACCATAGTTATAAAAGGGATGGGGAGATAACCCAAGAACAAGATACACAGTCTGAATTGTGCTCTCTTCCACACGAGCACACCAGGGAATGTTAGTTTTCAGCTCATTTTGTTTTTCCCTTCAGGTTGTTACTAACAAAATCTCTACCGTTTATTAAAGCAAAGCTACAGTAAATTTTCTTGCAGTCTTACAGCAGGTTTTCATATTACCAGTAGGACTCGCATGCATGGATTGCAGTCACACACACACGCTCACAGACATTATACAGTAGCCAGTTGCCACTATTAAAAAAAAAAAAAAGAAAAAAGAAAACAGACATTCATTTTCTTGAAGTGGTCAACATCAGAATCGCACCAAACTTTTGGATCAAAAAAAAAAATACTGCACAGGTGTTCCACATCTACACGGTAAGTCATCCCTTCGCAATGGACGGAGCTCTCGTCTCCATTTGTTCAACATGCATCGCTGAAGCTTGAAGGCACACTGGCCAAAGAGAGCCCTGTTCTTCTTTTTTGTCATCTTAACTCGAGTGTGCTGCTCTCAGGGTGCAAAAATAAGGAAAAAAAATAAAGCCAAGCCCTTTTGCAGCACACCGGGAAAAGGTCATTCGGAGACCACAGTACTTGGAAGGCAGCCCAGCTGCCTTGATTCTACTTCTAGCTGTGCTCTTGGAGGCATTGAAGGAATACACTTGTCTTTGAAAATTACATGGAAAGGCAAATTTCTGAAAAACATCTCCTTTCAGACTGCTTGTGGTAGACGAACACTCCTGGAAGAAACTGGGCTTTCCGCCACCAGCTTCAAGTGGGAAATTTCCTACCTGCTGTCTTAAACACTGAAGCACCAGAGATTATAGGGCTGATGTGTTGAGGCATTCATCAGCTTTGGGAAAGTTTAACACCAAAAGAAAAACAAAACAAAACAAACCTAAAGAGTGAAAAAAAACCCCAAACCCACAATGCCTCAAGAGCACTATAGCAAACCAGAACTCTTGGGCTACTGACTGCCGGCACTGTCAGAAGCTGCTTGCTTCTGGGAAGACACCTGGAGGTTGAAGCGCTGTGGTGATTTCGTATCCTCCCAGGGTGAGATTTGCTGAGCTTTACTGATTGCGAGATAAAGCAGTGTTCTGGAAAACTAATACCAACAAACTCATAATAACCATCACCAAAATCACCATTGGAAAAGTTCCATTTGTGAGAAGGTCTCATTGACAAACAGTCCCTGCCCCACGGAGCAGAACGGACATGATTAACGAAATCCAGAGCAGCCCGTCCCCACAAGCTGGGCCTTCGGGACGAGTCCCCGAATTACACTGGAGGGGGAAAAAGAAAAACAAAAAAACAAGAACAAAAAAGGTTATATCACCTTTTTCTCCTTTCAAAGTTTCTATCTGCTTATTTCACTTGTTTCTTCGTTTTCCCCCCAGTTCTCCTTCCCGCTCTGCCTCCTTAGCTGGGGGAGCTGTTGGTGCGGGAGTTTGGAGAGTCCTGCTCATTTATTGTGTTCAAGAGTACACACACCGGCTGCCGGGGCAGGTGGTGGTGGCTGTGTTCGCGGTGCTGCTCCTCCGTGGCATTAAAAAGCCCTTCCTCCTCGTCGCCGTGCGGGCGGCCGCTGCAGCTGTCACAGAAGTCCAGGGGCCCGTCCAGAGCATCGTTGATGAGCCCGTCGAACTCCTTGAGGTCATCGTCGTGATGGCCCCGGTTGCATACGCAGACTTCGATGCCCGAGTCGCCCGTGAAGCGGCGCTGCCTGCCCGGCGTCTTGTCCTTGGCGTCGGGAATGGCGCTGCTCTGCTCCAAGCTCTCCGAGCTGTAACCTTTCAGCAGTTCCTCCTTGCACTCCGTATCCTTCTCGGGACCGGCCCTCTCCACCAGCTCTGCTCCTGTGCTGGTGCCGCCGGGCTCCACGCTTTGCATTTTGGCTACTGCTCGCTCGACCAGCGCGGCGGTGGAAGGCTCGGGGTCTCCGAGGCCGGGGGACCCGGTGCTGTCAGTGCGGCTGTGATTGCCGCTGGGCACCGCCGAGCTGCTCTGTGCTGGCTGCAGGTTTCTCGGCGTGTCTGGGATTGTGCTACTGCTGCCTGCTGGGACACACTGCTGATGTAAGGCACTGTATGGAGGCGGGGGGGTCGGCGGTCTGTTCACCACTTCCTCGTAGGGAGGTAGTAAATAATTTGGCAGAAACCCTGAAAGTGGGAGGCAAGGAGAAGTTATTTTTTGAGCAGCCTTTCTTAGGAAACTTGGCATTAATGTAGGTCAGCGCGCCATACCAGCACCCTCCCACCAAGCGGGTCAATGGGCTTTATGTGCAATGGTGAAACTCAAATCAATGAGATGCTTTGTGTTCTGAGGAACAGCAATCACAGCACAGGAGGGCACAGATACATGAAGAGATGAACACAGCTGGGAACAGCAGCCAAGTTTCTTGGCTCTTAGTTCCACGCCTAAATGTACCTGGTCACTACCTCCCTGTAAGGTGTAATGGCCTCAAGTTGTGCCAGGGGAGGTTCAAGCTGGAAATTAGGAAAAAACTGTTCTCAGAAAGAGCAGTGAGGCAGTGAGACAGGATGCCCAGGGAGGTGGTAGAGTCACCGTCCCTGGAGATGTTCATGAACCATGGAGATGTTACACTGGGGGATGTGGTCTGGTCGGCACGGGTGGGATGAGCTGATGCTTGGACTGCATGATCTTAGAGGTCTTTTTAACCTTAATGATTCCATGATTCTACGATATCCCAACAGGGCCCCCATGAAACTCCTCAAGGGAAAGCATGTGTTGGCTGGAGGGACAAGCTGGGAGGTAACTCACCTCCAGCCCCCTCCAGCACTGCCTTCTCAGCTGAACTTCCACTTTAAAGAGCAAAGATTTAATCTCACAGAACTTTGCATAAATATAGACACAAGAAACTTAGGAGCTGGGCTTATAGTTGTTTCAGTGCTGGATTCTGGTGCTTTTCTGGTGCAGCCAGAATAAATTGGCAGTATTGTCAACAGAAGCTAATTTGTTGTTCTTACGCTACCTCAAAACTAAGGAAGATGTTATTTATTCCATAACAGGCAACAAAATAATCTACACAGACAGAACGGGCTTAAGTAATGGAAACATTTAGAGACAGCACTGCAGTTTTCCATGTGTAATTGTACAGCCTTTGGACTGGGGAGTAGAGCACTGCTGGGGCAAGAGTTCAATGAGTGCAGGCTGAAAAGGAGGAGCATCCTGCAGGAGGTATTTTAAAAACCTTCCCAGGAAGACACCCAGCCGATCGCTGCACACATACAGCCTAATCAGTGGTGGATTCAACACGTGCTACAGCCGGTGTTGTTCAACTCCAGACTTAGGAGGGCTCAGATGCACACAGAAGCTGAAACATGTCCCCTC